CACCACCCCCCCCCACCACCGACCTGATCACCCACAACCTCCCTCCCCTCTTGGCCCCTAACCACCTCTACCTCTGCCCCGCCACCATTGCTTTGTCCAGAAGAATGTCTGGAAGGTCTCCCAGTCTAATTAGCATATCACCCTTAGTATAGATAGTTGATATATCCTACTTATTTCCTTAGCCTGAACTCACACCCTACTTCCACTCTCACTGAACCTTTACCATCACTGTATTGAACTCCCTGCCCGTAGTAGCTCTGAACCTGTCATTGTCATTTTTTGATGAGTGAGTCTTGATCTGCCTTGTGTGCTCATCTCTCACTTCTACATTCGGTGAAATATTTATGTGCATTTTTCAGATTTTTGTTTCTGGGAGATACTTCATGATATCTTTGGAAAAGAAAATTCTTGACTGAATGGCAATCTCTAACTATAATTTATTCTTTCTATTCTTATTTTCAAGGCAGTTAATTGGACTTTACACCATGGCTCACAATCCTAACATGACCCACATAAAGCTTAACCGGCCAGTTACTGCCCTTCCTCCCCTTTGGGTAAGGTGTGACAGTTCAGATCCTGAAGGGACCTGTTGGCTAGGAGCTGAGCTTATCACAACAAGTAACAGCATCACAGGAATTGTCTTATATGCGGTCAATTGTAAAGGTGAGAGCTGGCTCTTACTACTTTTATGGGTGTGTGTATATATGTTTATTTGATAGTTACTGTTTTGTGGTTTTACTGAAAGTGTATATTGTTACAAGGGAAGTGCACACTATGGAATTCATGTTAGCCACCAGGAATCTAGTCTACTGTATAACTTGCAGCATGTAGGTGATATTCCAGAAACACCAGAGACAGATCTCCAAAAATCTGGACAGGAGTTTATAGCTGTTTTGTTTGCGTTTCATTTTATTTGTATGGGTATATTTTTTGGAATTTTCATTAGAGGATCAAAAATTGAATATAATGACAATATAATTCCAGTTTCATCGTAGGCATACAGTTATATTTTTGATGATAGTATTGAGCTTTGTTCCACTTTCATTCTTTTATAAACATTCCATTCAACTGATTTAAAACTTCAACTATTATTAGTGTTAAACTATGGTACCTTCAGAATTTGAATTTTCTAGCATTAAGATGTAATTTTGAATTGTATATTTAAATGGTTTTTTTTATGTCCCATAGCTGATAAAAATTATTCTATAAATCTTGAAGACTTAAAAAATTCACATAAGAAAAGACATCAATCGTCTGCTGTAAGTATTTCTCTTCTCATATTATTTTCTTCTAACTGTATTGACCTGCCTTTCACTCCTAATATGACTACATATTTTTCTGTAGTATCAAAATGTTTGTATTTATTTTCCTATCAGCTGACTGAAATTAAAATATATGCCCTCTTACCTTTTAGCTAATCTTTGTGATTAAGAATAATTGTCTTATTTTTCCATTTGGGATAAAGCTTACTACTTTTTCTTCTTTTGAGGAAAGAATCAAAGTAGTTTTGAAAATGGCCTTTGGTCATGTGAAAGCATAGCTGCTGGTGTGCTGGATGCCCTCTTTTCAGGTTACAGCCAGGGGCTTTGCCCAGTATGAGCTCTTGAAGTCCACTGCCTTGGATGATACAGTCCCCACATCACAAACTACGATCACTTTGGATATTTCCTGGAGTCCTGTGGATGAGATTCTTCAAATCCCTCCACTCTCTTCAACTGCAACCCTGGTAGGAGTAAGCCCTGTTTTCTGTTGCGTTTACTCAGTGTGGGTTTACTTTTAACTTGCTTGTTGCTGGGGTTGCATGCCTCCTGTCCCTCCCCCAGCCCCTGCCCTCCCTGAGCTCTGACAACTTACCCCTGAAGTAGCTAGAGAAGCCAGTGGAGGTTTTACAGGTGATCTGATCTATCAATTGCTCACAGCACTGGAAGTATATAACTTAAGATTTTCCAGTGATTAATAGTCTCTTGAGTTGGGACTCAAGTGAAATTATCAAAGTGACATCATCTGTGCTATCCTTTTTATAGCTTTTTTAAAATTTTTCATTATAGCTGCCATTTAAATTATATTAATTTCAGGTGTACAGATAGTGGTTAGACATTTATATAACTTACGAACAGATTCCCCCTGGTAAGTCTAATACCCACCTGGCACCATACACAGTTATTGCAATATTATTGACTGTGTTCCCTATGCTGTACTTTAAATCCCTGTCATCTGCTAGTCTTAAAATAGAGAGTACATGTATCGGCAATACATCAAGAATTATTATATTACTAAGCCTTTCACCTTTTAACATTTCTATGAATCTGTCTTAGGAAGTTAATTAGAATTGCTAACAAAAATATATGTACAAAGCTATTTGCAGTGATATAGCTGTGTTTCCAAAATATTCAAAACAAATAGGATAATCACTAAAATAGATTTCCATGATGAAATATTACACATTCTTTAAAAATCTTTAAAGTGTCTTTAATAATAATAGGAAATGCTTATTATTAAGCAGACAAAAGCAGAAAAGTACAAAATTGAACATTTAGTAGTATCTCAACTATGTTTTTAAAAAATGGGTACACAGAAGCCTGGGTAGGGTTAATAGTGATTCCGCAGGGTGGTGGGATTATGGATAATCATATTCTTAATGCTTTTCCTTCAATAGAAATTTACATACAACAGAATTTTTTAATCCCCCCCCCCCTTTTTAAATAATATCTTGCAGTTGTAAAACCTTACCTCCAGGTAGGACAGCATACTTACTGGTTTAGTTAGTTTGTTTCTAAGGAGCATATATATTGGGGAGGCTGGGTTATTTGGTGTGTAGTAATGCTAAGTTTATCATTAAGTCCTGAGCTGTATTTATATTTCTCCTACTTGTCCTTTGGAAATTCAGTAGGAGAGAGCAAGAGAGCGTGTAAGGACAGTTAGTTCCATGTAGGTACAATTGTGGTATAGAAATGGAGTGTGATGGCCCAGGATGGGCAGGATCTGTGGTATCTCTGAGATGTTCTAAATGAAGTTTTACACTACTTTTTTAATATATTAGTGCTTTATAAAATATATTTTTTAATGTGTGGGTAGTTTGAAATGCAAGTAACTCTGACCCTTATGCCAAAAAGATGGGATTACCAGTGAAAACTGACTTTGAGAACTTTTTAGAATATTAAAGTGGAATCAGGAGATCCCAGAAGTCCTTTGCATCATCTTCACAGAGAACTGAGATTTCTCCTTGTGAGTACCCTTCTGGAATTTGTTACTTGCATTAAAGCTCATGTTTTCATAAGAATATTTGTTAATATCATTGTTACTTAGTTTTGTGTTCTTCAAAAATTGTTCCAAATGTTATATAGGCATTGGATACTCTTGGCAATTTGGGCAGCTTAATGTTACTAGTCCTATGTGGTAGTGGTTCTTACATTTAAAGGGAGCATTAGTTAGATAATTAATAGCTACCATTCTTCTGCCTCTTTTACTGGAGTGTTTGCTTTTTATTTATATGATGGATTCCTCTCTTTCCAGGTGGGTTAGATGCCAATTTATTTCAAATGCATATATAATCTGCTTGTTAATAACTTGGGTTTTGATTGATGCTAAAGAATAATGAGCATGTGTTTCAAGAATTTTATGTTTCAGTAATTTTAGCTCTACTCAACAAATTGAATCTCAAAGGGGTGCCTCATTTTAATGCAGTAGAAATTCCAAGTGTTTTAGCCTGGCATACAAAGTCAGTTATATCCAGTCACTGCTCTGCCTTTTTCTTTCTTCTAGCAGCTTTTTTGAGATATAAGTTACATTTCATAAAATTCACTTGTTTAGTGGTTTTTAATATACTTACAGAGTTGTACAGCCGTGACCATCTTTAATTTTAGATCATTTTCATCACTCCCAAAGGAAAACCTATACCCATTTAGCAGTCACCTCTCACCCCCATCAGCCCCTAGCAACCACCAATGTACTTTCTGTAGTACTTTGTTCCTTTTTATTGTTGAATAGCATTCCATTGTATAGATATACCACATTTTGTTTATCCATTTATCAGCTGATGAACATTTTAGTTGTTTCTACTTTTTGATTATTCTGAGTAATGCTGCCATGAATAGTCGCGTACGTGTTTTTGTGTGACATGTCTTTTCACGTCTCTTGGGTGGAATTGCTATGTCATGTGGTAACTCTAATCTTTTGAGGAACTGCCAAACTATTTTCCAAAGTGGCTGCACCACTTTACATTCCTACCAGCAGCGTATGAAGGCTCAATTTCGCCATGTCCTTGCCAACACTTTGATATTTTCTGCTTTTGTTTTTGTTCATAGTCATCCTAGTGGAGATGAAGTAGTATCTTGTTATGTAGCATTGCCCTGATGGCTAATGACGTTTAGTATCTTCTCATGTTCCTATTGGTGCCTACTTATTTCTTTAGCTTAATCTAACACCCTACTTTCACTCCCACTGAACCCCCAACCCTCGCTATATTGAATTCCCTGCTTGTAGTAGCTTGATCCTATCACCCTTTGTCACTTTCTGGTGTGTGTGTGTGTGTGTGTGTGTGTGTTGATCTGGTATGCCCTTCCACCTCTTTTCTGGGTGAGCTCTCTGTGACATCTTTTGCTTAGGATGATTGCACTGACCTCTCAGAATGGCTTATGGTACCTGTGCTTTGTGCTTTTATAGAACTCAACACACACCTCTTGTTAGAGTGATTATCAATCACAGTGATTTGTTTACTTATCTCTTCCTGCTGTACCTTCAACATCTAGTGTAGTACCAAGCATTCTAATACATTTCCTTCATATTATTTTTGTGTAAAACTTGCTACTTTTTCTACCTGTCTCACTTTTCTTCTTAAAAGTTCCTCTTCCGAGATCATTATTGTGGGCTGCCATCCTACTTCTACCCTTATGTCTCTCTGCCCTTCTCTGTCCACCCTGGCAGAGAGCTTACACATTCAGTGATTTGACTAATGCCTTTATGAGGGAACTCCAGATCCCTTCTTTCCCTTTTTCTTTTTAATCCTCACCCGAGAATAAGTTTTATTAATTTTTAGAGAGAGAGGAAGAGAGAGAGAAACATTGATCAGTAGCCTCTCGTGCATGCCTTGATCAGGGATCAAACCCATAACCAAGGTATGTGCCCTGACCAGGAATTGAACCCACAACCTTTTGGTGTACAGGATGATGCTCTAATCAACTGAGCTACCCAGCCAGGGCCAGATCCCTTCTTTAAGCTGTTACTAATTCCCATCTTTCCTACTTCCACCAAATTATTTCTAACTTGAGTACAGGCTGTGGCCTCAAACTCAGTACAGTATATCCAAAATGAAACATGAAACCTCCAGACTAGATCTTCAGACTAGAAACCCATATATGATCCCACCATTCCTTCATTTCTCTTGACCCTTGAACAATGTGGGGGTTAGGGGCACATACCCCTTGCATGGTTAGCAATTCATGTATAACTTTTTACTCCCACAAAACTTAACTGCTGATTAACAGTTGCCTGGAAGCCTTACTGATAACATAAACTGTTGATTAACACATTTTTTATGTTATCTATATTATACTATTTTCTTATAATAAAGTAAGTGAGAGAAAAGAAAATTTTTAGAAAATCATAAGGAAGAATATATACTTTTACTGTATTTATTGGGTGGGGGGGATCTGCATATAAGTGGACTCGTGCAGTTCAAACCCATATTGTTCACTGGTCAGCTGTGTTTTACTTTAGTAAGAACTGTTTCTACCACCACCACTTACCACCACAGCTGGAAGCTGCCACTCTACTGTGCCAAACATGTGGTGCTAGATGGTTTAGTTATTTTGCCTAAGGCATCAGCAACTGGCAAGTGGGAGAGCTGGTTCAAAACTCATTCAGATACATGTCTGTCTAACTTGAAAGTTCCTGCCCTGTGGCCCTGACCAGGCAGTTCAGTTGGTTAGAGCGTCATCCCAATATGCCAAGTTTTATTTGATCCCCAGTGAGGGCATATACAAAAATCAACCAGTGACTCTGGCCAGTGTGGCTCAATTGGTTGAGTGTTGTCCCATGCACTGGAAGGTCACCCACCGATTAGTTCCCTATTGGGGCACATGCCTGGGTTGCAGGTTCAGTCCCAGTCATGGTGCATACCAGAGGCAATAGATGGATGTTTCTCTCTCTTTCTCTCTCTCTCTCTCTCTCTCTCTTTCTCTCTCTCTTCTCTTAAAATCAATAAAAACATATTTGAAAAAATCAATCAATGAATGCATAAATAAGTGGAACAACAAATTGATGTTTCTCTCCCTCTCTCTAAAATTAAAAAAAAAAAGAAGGAAAGTCCATGCTTTGTTGTAATCTCCCTTAAATTAACAGAATCTTACATATGCACAGGGACAGAGTCTCTCCAAGTTTAGTCCTCTGTATTTTTATAAGTGGGTAGGATTTTTTTTCTTTTGTTTTATTCCACATATATACCTCTATACCTACCTATCTATCTATCTCTCTCTGAAATATAGTGTTCTTTTCTTCCTTCGAAGTTTCTCTCACTGTGCCCATCTTAGTTAAAGCTCTTATCTCCGTCTTGGACCACTCTAATGATCATTTATTGTTTCTCAACAGGGACACTATCAGCATTTCAGCATTTTGGGCAGGACCATGCTTTGTGGTTTGGGACTTTGAACATGTTGCAAAATGTTTAGCATCCTTGGCCTCTACCAAATTAAATGCTCCTGTACCCCCAGATATTGTGACACCAAAACTTATCTGCACATTTTTTCAAGTATCCCCTGGGGGTAGAGAGTAAGATCACTTTTGTTGAGAAATACTGTATTTTCTCTTTTCCTTAAAATCCTAGGTATTTCTGATGGAGGAATTCTTAACTACTTGATCATGTCATTTTCTTGCCAAAAATCAACAGTGGGTGTTGTCTTCCATGTGAAATAAAAAATCTTTTTAAGTTTTAACATCACTATTCCTGTGTAGCCCCCATTCCTTGTAATCTTCTAGTGTCCTCTAGGTGTCATACTCCACTGGTTGGAATCACCCCACCCTCTTCATCTCCTTCCCTGCTCTGTAGCCGACAGTTCTCACATTTGGATTGGAGTTGAGTTGAGGTTTCACATTGTTCCCCTGGCTATTCCAGGACATCTTGACCTCCTTTCTCCAGTTTAAATTATTGTATGTATAGGCACATGCATTTATATTATTACTAGAGGTCAGGTGCATGAAATTCGTGCACAGGAGGAGGTTCCCTCAGCCCAGCCTGTGCCCTCTTGCAGTCCAGGACCCTTTGGGGGATGTAGCAGTGGGCCAAGCTGCAAGTGGCTGGGGAGGAGCCCAAACCAGGGCCAGGCGCTATGCCACTTGCACTGATCGCGGCCTGCTGTGCCTGCTGCCGCCGCTCAGTAGTGCTGCTGCGGAGAGGGGAAAGGCTCCTGCCGCTACAGCTGTGCTCGCCATGAACCCAACTTCTGGCTGGGCGGTGCTCCCCCTGTGGGAGCACACTGACCACCAGGAGACAGCTTCTGCATTGAGTATCTGCCCCCTGGTGGTCAGTGCGCATCATAGCGACTGTTCATTCTGGTCATTCCGCTGTAATGGTCACTTAGGCTATTATATATATATAGACTAGAGACCTGGTGCACGAAATTTGTGCACAGGTAGGGTCCCTAGGCCTGTCCCACGATTAGGGCCAATCAGGGCCTCCTGATTTGAGAGAAAGAAACATCAGTTTGTTGTTCCACTTATTTATGCATTCATTGGTTGATTTTTATATGTATCCTCACTGAGGATTGAACCTTCAACCTTAACATATTGGGATGATGCTCTAACCAATTGAGCAACCCGGCCAGGGCCTATATTATTTTTATGTAAATTTCCAATTTGTTTTACATTTGTTGTTCCCAATTATTTCATCTGTATTACTAGTCCTTAACCAAAATTACAAGCATCTTTAGGGCAGGCTCGTCAGTCTTGAATCCTATAGTATTTATACACATGGCATCATAGTTCAGAACACCATCTTTGTATGTCCTGGTACTATCAGTTACTAACTGTATGACCTTAAGCAGGTTATCTTAGCCTCTTCTTAATAAAATGAAGGTAGATAGTAATATCTGCCTCGTAGAGATTTTGTGAGGATTAAATAACATACTATATATGAAACACTAGAACAGTCCTGGCATGTGAGTAAATACTCAAGAAATAACAATATTATTAAATATATTCTTATTGATTAAACTGTGCTTTCTGCTAATAAGCTTTTGGGTTTTTTAATCTCCTATAGGTTTTGGCTATTGGTTTGAGGACTGGTGTAACTGAATGGCCTGCACCTCTGGAAGCAAAATCTGCTGTTGAACTTGTGCAGGAGTTTCTAAATGGTGTTTGTTTTCCTAATACACGCTTCTACATTGTTTGTTTTTCTTAATTGGGAATTTATAATTGCTATTTTTAAATGAAGTTGTCTTTTTAGGCTTGGTATTCTTTTTGGTTGGGATATATACTAGTAAACTTTGAAGTCTGTCATGGTCAGAGGATGGCTTTCATTCTGAATTGCTAATGGTAACAGCCTAAGTAATTTTAAGAATAAGATTTAATTTAAAGTTAATATACCACAACCATATTTGAGATTGTAGTAGAAGAGGGGTGCAACAGTAACCTTGAGCACCTACCAGATGCCCAGCATTATGTGTTGGAGCTTTCACTGTACCTCAGTTCATCCTCACACCCCTACCCAGGGGTTATCTATTATGACTTCCATTGGAGAGTTAAGTAATTTGCTAAAATCCCCATTTATGCTTTTATTGTCCTCATTTGTCATTTGAAAATAGGATTAGGATGGAAATAATTTTGAAAGCAGAAAAATAAAATCCAGAATTAATAAGCTTTTGCCACTTTCTAGACTTAAATAAACTGGATGGATTTGGGGATTCTACAAAAAAAGACACAGAGGTAAGTGATAGCATTTACATTGTACACTCACTGAAATCTAAATATTTTTTTAAAAACACTTTCCACAAAGATAGTCCTTTGTCATTACATTATTTACGCATGTGTTTGTACATATTGTATGTTAATTTATTATTGATATTTTTCAGCAAAAAATACATATTCAAGAACAAAAAAGAAATGTACACTGAAATAGCTCTTAAATGTGGTTGTATTATCTTTCATGCTGTATCATCCATGTCAAATGGATCTGGTACATACAGCATGGGCAGTGTTTTGAAGGTAGTCTTGTTTTGGTCTTTAATGTCAGCAATATTTTCCTTAAGGCAGCGGCTCTCAACCTGTGGGTCGCGACCCCTTTGGCGGTCGAATGACCCTTTCACAGGGGTCGCCTAATATCAGATATTTACATTACGATTCATAACAGTAGCAACATTACAGTTATGAAGTAGCAGTGAAAATAATTTTATGGTTGGGTCACAACATGAGGAACTGTATTTAAAGGGCCAGAAGGTTGAGAACGACTGCCTTAAGGGCTGATAAATAGTTTTAAATAGAACCAATACATATGTATTATTAATTCTCAACTGTAGAGAAGTAGAAATGAATAAGTTAATATACTGTAATGTGGTATACCTTTAGTATATTAATACAAGACAGCGTGTTAATATGCCAGATGTGGTATTATTAAATTAAGCTAATTGTGTTGTCATTTGACAAATAGGAAAAGGGAGAGAACAGTAATGTAATTAAAAATTTTTACATGAAGGAAAGTCAGTGCTTGTCTTTAGGCATCACGTTTTAAAAACAATTTTAGGCCCTGACTGGTTTGGCTCAGTGGATAGAGCGTCGGCCTGCAGACTGAAGGGTACCAGGTTCGATTCCCATCAAGGGCATATACCTTGGTTGCGGGCACATCCCCAGTAGGGAGTGTGCAGGAGGCAGCTAATCGATGTTTCTCTCTCATTGATGCTTCTAACTCTCTATCCCTCTCCTTTCCTCTCTGTAAAAAATAAATAAATAAAAATAAAAACAATTTTAGGGGCTCAGTTTTTCACTATTGGTTTGTGTCTTCATTAGTGAATGAAGTTGTAGAAAAATTCATTCACATCTTTCTTTGTGTGTGTTCTTGGGTCTATATTTTCTCAGAGCTGCATTTGAAAGCTTATTGGCCTTAAACTATTTCACTTTTGAAAAAAACAAAACAAAACTGAACTTTGCTGCATGGCTCAGTAGTTGAGCTTCAACCTATGAACCAGCGGGTCATGGTTTGATTCCTGGTGAGGGCATGTACCCAGGTTGCAGGCTCGATTCCCAGTGTGGGGTATGCAGGAGGCGGCCAATCAATGATTCTCATAATTGATATTTCTTTCTCTCCCTTCCTTCCTTCCTTCCTTCCTTCCTTTCTCTCTCTCTCTCTCTCTCTCTGTCTCTCTCTCTCTCTCTTTCTCTCTTTCTCGCTCTCTCTTTCTCTCTCTCCCCCATCCTCTCTGATGTCAATAAAAATATATTAAAAATTAAAAAAAATAAACTGAGTATTCTCTGGCATTTCTTTTTCAGACAGGGAAGCCCGACAGTACTGCATTTGATCGTTCCATCGAGTGTCTTTTCACAGTACGGGGCGATCTGGATTTTGCTGAGCAGCTGTGGTGCAAAATGAGTAGTAGTAGGTGTTCATTGTGATTGTACAATAAAACTTTTTCCTGTTACTTCTTAGGCTTACCTTTAACTAAGTCTTATGGAAATAACACAATATGTTCTACTAGTTTTGTGTGCAAGTTTAGTTCCTGTTTTACAAATTCATTTCTAGTAACGCACTGGCACATTCTACTCAAGAATTGTACTAATAATATAAAGCAGTTCATAGAATATCCTTTTCTTCTGCTAAGATTTACCAGGTAGATGGTTTTTAAACTGTGTTTATATGAATCAAAACATATACCTTAGTGAAATTATAATTATTAGAGAAAGGAAAAGATATTCCTTAATATTTTACTACATGTGTTATTTTGTGGCAGTTTAATTTCTTTCTTTAGAAATACAGTGTCTTTTGCCGTATTCTTTCCCCTTCCTCCATCCATAAAATACAGATTCTTGTCTTCCTCTTTGTGTGTCCTTAAGATTAATGACATATATCATCTGCAGAAATACCATGAACATAATGTTAGACTGACTTGTTTTTCAAGGTGTGATTTCATATCAAGACTTGGTGAAGTGTTTCACATTGATCATTCAGAGTCTACAACGTGGTGACATACAGCCATGGGTAGGTTTAGTAGTGTGTGCTGAATGTTTTCTCAACATCAAGGTTAAAGACATAGGCTCTGGAGCATACTACCTGAGCTTGAATTCTAGCCCTGTGACTCACTAGCTGGGCAGATTCCTTTATTTCTCTGTGTGCTAGTTTCCTCATCTGTAAAGCAGGAGTAGGAAAAATACTTACCTCATAGTGTTGTTTTAGGATTAAATAATTTAATTAATGTAAAGTTCTTAGCACCTAGCTCATAGGTAAGTGCTTGGTATTTGTAAGCTACTAATATTGTCATTGTTACTATTGCTATGAATGATAATTCTCATATACTAATGAGGCTACAATTTGGAACACTCTTAAAAGCAATTTTCATAATGATCCTGCAAATGTGTCATGCCCTTTGAATCAATAAGATCCATCATAAGCTCATACAGAAATGTGTATCAAGATTTTATGTATTAGAATAGTCATTAGAGCTTCATTTATGGTAGAAAAAAATGTAAGTAACCTAAATTTCCACTATAAATGAAATGACTAAGTAAATAATAATATAACCACATGTGGCACATGTAATAGTTGCTAAAAATGATGCTGACAGATATGGAGAAATTCTTATAATGTTCAGTAAAAAGACAAGAATATACACTATTGTATTAAAGAATGTAAATTTTGGAGAGGAAAACGTAGAAGCAACTAAATGTTTTAGCAGTACTTTTGGTATTAGGGTTACAAGTGAGTTTTTCTAACTGCATTATACATTTCTATACTTTATGAATTTTCCATAATGAATTTGTGCTTTTACAATTAAGAAGAGATTATATTAAAAGCTAGAAACAAAAAGAGTCCTTATTTAATAGGAATTAATCTACACTAATAAAAGGGTAATATGCTAATTAGGGCAGGCGTCTTGCAGACGTCCATCCAGACAAAGCCACAGTGGCTGTGAGGCCTGGGGCTCACAGCAGCCGTAGGCTCAGGCAGCTGTGAGGCCCAGGGCTCAGGCCTCGCAGCTGCCACAGCCCGGCAGTGGCAGCAGCAGCAGCGGGGTGATGGGGGTGGTGCCTTTCCTTGATCAGCTGGGTTGCCTCCTGCAGAGGGAGGCCAGACCATGGGGAGCGGGCCTAAGCTGTCAGTAGGACATCCCCTGAGGGCTCCCGGACTGTGAGAATGGGGAAGGTTGGGCTGAGGGACCCCCCTTCCAGTGCACAGATTTTTGTGCACTGGGTCTCTAGTTTTAAATAATGTCACAGCTAATGCATGCCTATAAAGCTTTGAAACTTTCATAAGTGTGAACAAATGTACACTCCAGAGCAAAGACATGCAAACTCTGATTAATTGGGCATTAGTGATTCTAGACAGTGTAGTCTTGGCCATTGGATTTTTTCCTTGAGACTTTTTTTGTGAAGTGTTTACCAGTATATCCCTGCCAGGTGCAATGAGTACAAAGTGAAAATAGTTTAAAAAAAGAAAATGCAAAAAATTATGATGAAAATTAGAGATCATAAGAAGACAGTAGTGAGAAAATACTTTAGATATGTTTAACATTTGGAACATATGTCAGATCTGTAAGGTTGCAGCTCTTTTTAATTTGCAAGTGATCAAGTTAGTATGTTGGATATCGTAGTCAATAAGGAGTTCCTTATGGCATGTTCATGGACCATTGAGAGAGTTTTCTGCTACAGTAGATTTTTAGTGTAGTTAAAAATGTTAGATTTGGGCAAAGATGCTCAATAGCACTTAGCCAGGAGAAGAGAATTCCTAGTTATAAAGTTACAAAGGACCAGCTCTGCCTTCTCTTTGGTGGAATTGCAACTGAGAGTAATAAGTTTAAGCCCTTTTTATTGGCTTTGGACTTAAACAAATGAAGCAGGAAAGGCACCTTAGAAAGTAACTTGGGGGCTTTTATTCAAACAATTTATAGTAGCAAGAGATTAAAGATGCAAGTTTATGATTTTTAGCTTGTAGCTAATGTAGTTTGCTTCTCTTTTGCTTAGTGGATTTATTTATGGCTTTATAACATTTTCTTGATTTCTAGCTCCATAGTGGAAGTAACAGTTTACTAAGTAAGCTCATTCATCAGTCTTACCATGGAGCCATGGACACAGTTTCTCTCAGTGGGACTCTTCCAGTTCAGATGCTTTTGGAAATTGGTTTGGACAAACTAAAGAAAGATTATATCAGTTTTTTCATAGGTAAGTACCTGCCCAGCTCAAAAAATTAAAAAGTATACCACAGTTGTCAGCCCATAGGTATTCTCAGATTTTATCTTTCTACTTGTCCCTAGTCATTTGTAGTTCTGGCTTTGCCCCTAGTTCACTGTGAAGGGCATTCTCTGGCCCTTTGGTTTCTCCCTCGGTAAAGGTATTAAATTAAAGATACTTATAATGCTTGCTTGATTGTTTTTAGTTGAGATTCTACTCATTTTGAGATTCTATGAGTATACTGTAATTAATAAAAACGATTTTATGAGATGCTGTTTTAATATCCAACACTTAGTTGTTTTTATTAGGGCAAACTGTGATCATTTTTAGAATAAATAATAGTATGTCTTTATGGTGTAATGTACCAGAAAATTTGACTATTTTTGAGAAACTATTTAGCTTGAGCATCTCTTTTATATATTAACTATGAAAATTTTTACTTAGGTTCTTTAACATGCAACAGATAATACGTAAATCTTATTTGCATGTATGTTTTTTTCATAATAGGTCAAGAACTTGCATCTTTGAATCATTTGGTGAGTTTATTTTTTTAATCAAAATGTGGTTTTTCTTTTATTCATTTACTCTATATATAATTATTAAGTGCCTAATCTGTGTCCCTCTATCCTAGGTCCTAGGAAACAGATAAATGAGACAGTCAATGCCTTTAATTACTACTGTCTAGTAACTAGACAGACAAAAAAGTAGCCCTTTTAGTAAAATTTATCATT